TATTTGTCTATTATTTTGTAAATATTTCAATATAATTTCAAATATACATATAATAAAATTGTAACTGAGTCGAATCTATATATTAAATATTTTTTTAATTATCGAAACAGTGGCCCGATCTACAGTTTTTAGGATTTTTGTCTGTCGCTGTCTGGGAACGCATCACCAGAAAACCACTGGGCAGATTTCGATGAATTTGGTATGTTGATAGCTGGTTATACGGGTCAAATATAGGATACTTTCTACTGAGAGAAAATATCTTATTTCCGAGAAATCTCTACTATTAGTACTACGGTTAAACCGTTAAAACATACCTAGTTATTTATATATTAGTATTAAAATTTGGTAAAGGAGTCAGTGCGCTTATTCCCCTTCTTATTAAAGGAAATCATACGAAAATCAATATCTTTAATACCAAATAGTTAATTTTAAAAATACAAAAATATGATGCGCGCCGTGTTGTTAGGGCGAAGTGAGGGCGGGACGCTAGTCTATACCAAATCGTTGTTAATAATTTCACTGATGCTCAAATTTAAAGAAATTAAATTCGCTAATATAGCATAGTAAGTAGGTACTATAAGCGATTAAATTTAGAGAAGCGCAAAATGTACCTATTTGCATTTACAAACATATTTTTATCATTTTTTTTTATTCATTGCGTCTCTAAATTTCGTGTTACGTAATATACTAAGCGTATACAAAATACACATTTTATCCTGTACTTATTACTTATAAAAATATACATAAAAATTAAAAATCTCAATTATTATTATTTTCGAAACATATCATTAATATTCATCAATTAAATCTATGTGATATTTAAATTGCAAATCAACAAATATTTAATAAAATCAAATTATAATTCGTGTGTTCCAACGTTAGAGGTGTATGTGTAACATTAGGCGGGCTGGCATTCCATCCTGGGAAAGCAGAAAGTTCGGCATGCGAGGGTCGGAGGCTCCGAAGGAATGCGGCCGGACCTCCCCCCCTTGCCCCTGCCACCGCTGCTCCCAGCATTTATTTCACTTTGCTGCTTAACTCATGTCTAAATGTGCGCGGAATTTCAGATGTTATGGCTATTTGAAAAATTTAAGCTTTACTATTTATAAGCGCTAAGATTTGCATAGGAAATTACTACAGTAAAGATACTCCTTTTACATTACATAACAATATTTACAAAATGTTTTAATAATAACTGATACTTAACTTTCAGACAGTTTAAATAATATAATATTACACTTGTAGGTACACTCTAACCCACACGAAATTATTGTCAGGTAATTGTACTTATTGCTATGATATATATAAATTTTAAAATATTATTAAGTCTGGATGATTTCAGAAGATATTTTTGCTTTTATAAATAATGTTAACCTTATTTCTTCATACATGTTTAAGCATAAAAAACATGAAAACGATCATCACAATTTACAAATCTGATCCGAAGACTACAAAACGAAATCCAAAAATTATTAACAACCTTAAATTTTCAACGCCAGTCTCGTTGAGAAGGCTTAATATAAAATGGACAAAACAGCTCCAAAATCCGTAGAAGGAGCGAACACCGACACATTCCCAAGGCTTGAATCGTAAATTACAAGAGCGCGGTCGGCGCCGGCGCCGGGAGGAGCGCTTGTTACGATATTTGAACAAATTCCCGGCGGTGTTAATCTGCATAATAACAGCGGCGCACACAAAGCGGTTGCCGACTCCCATTATACTCGGGCGCCACCCTCCGCTCTTCAGCCCATCTAACTACCTCGGGCATCTAACTTGCTGCATTGCCACTTACTAGGATCCTCAAGAATACGTATAGTGTTATACGGGTTCTTCGTACAACATTAAAAATTACTATTATTTTTAAAATTAATATATTTCCCTTTAATTTTGAAATATTTATATTTTATCTTTACATTCATCAACACGATGCATTTCAAAAAGTCTGTGAAATTATGTAGCACACATAGACAAATTTCAAAAGTACAGAAAGAATAGATTAAAAAAAAATGAAATATATTAGACGCTGAAAAGGTTTAACTAAGATTGAAAAACAATGGCAGTTAGAATTATATTAAATTCTGTAAATGTGCTTTTCCTATTTTTATAGATGATATCAACTTGAGTATGAAAGACTTCTTTACACACATTTCAAATAGTACAAAAATGAAGCCTATAAATCTTTGTCTTCCAACAAAGGTTTGTGATGAAAGAATAAAAAATATTAAAAAAAAGATATACTTTTTGGAAGCCAGTATGTTAATACTGTCTATTATCAAATTCCGAAGGAAATCCACAGGGGGTTTTATGCATATCGACCCATAAAGTTCCAGGAAAACATTGTTAAGTGACAAGGTGTTTTATTGTCTAGCATTTTGTTTAATATTAAATACTATTAACTGAAACCGATATTTAAGAACCAATTTAATGCAATATTTTTATATGGAAATTGTTTTATTTTTATAATTAGAAAATGTTTTAAGAAAGAAAAACATATATAAGAATAATTAAGAAATTAAGCAATAAGGTACAATAACCCTGATATGAGTATATTTTTAATAAAGGAAGGTCTTTTGTTGAATTATAAAACGTATGACCCACGTAATTTTGAAATATACCAAAACATTGTTTATCGAAACGATTCTCTGTCTCTATTAGATTATAATTGATAGAACAAGAGTGTTGATTTTACAATATTTCACCATTACAAAATGTTGAGACGCCTTGAATATTCCCACCGAAAAAACTAATCAAAAATATATATTTTGTTTTGGAAATATCAAAAATCAAACAAAAAGTCCATTGTTTGAACTGTAGAGCATTTAGAATAAGAAAGTTGAAAGTAATTTAAAACAACAAAATATTATAAAGGTTAAATAGCTATCAACCCCCAGTCAGGGCACAAAAAGTGGAGCCTAAAATATGATTAAAAAAATGAAAATAAGCGAAAAAGTAACATGTTCCAAATTTTACATAACAATTTAAGGTAACAAGGTAGTGACTTTTGCTGATAATCATAATAGCACGAAGTTTAGTAATTAACCGGCCAAGTGCGAGTCGGACACGCGCACGAAGGGTTTCGTACCATAATCTATAGAAACGGCAAAAAATCACGTTTGTTGTATGGGAGCCCCCTTTAAATATTTGGTTTATTTTAATTTAATTATTTATTTTTAAAGTGAATATATAAATAAATATTCTGTGAATATTTCAAGCGTCTACCTGTTGCCGTTATCAATATCGAGCAAAAACGAGCAAAAAATCACGTTTGTTGTATGGGAGCTCCCTTAAATATTTATTTTATTCTGTTTTTTAGTATTTGTTGTTATAGCGGCAACAGATATATATCATCTGTGAAAATTTCAACTGTCTATCACGGTTCATGAAATACAGCCTGGTGACAGACGGATAGACAGACAGACGGACGGACGGACAGCGGAGTCTTAGTAATAGGGCCCCGTTTTACCCTTTGTGTACGGAACTATAAAAAGTACTGAAATATAATATTAAGTGAGAGATAGCTGAGAATAGAGCCGAATTCTTAATTTAAATTAATATGAATCACTCTGATACTATTTTATAATCAACATCGGTAACAATCCCTGATATGGGATGGGAAAGTGGAAATCTTTTTTTTTAAATCAATTTAAATTCTAAAACAATAAGGTTTGGAGAACGATATTAACAATAACATTTAGAGTTTAATATTTTAATTAAAAGGCAAAATAAATTAAATACTTGGTTTTTGGCCTTGCTGCGCATAATATTGGCGAATAGAAGAACGAGGATTGAGTTATATCCTCTGTCTACCCACAAGACGAAGATCGTGAAGTTGACAAAAACTTTTTAACAAAAAAATAAAAACCGACTTCAAACAAAAGCACTAAAAAGTAAAATATAACTGATTGGTAGTTTTCATTTACTATACATACCTAATCAAATATTTTCGAAGTCGGGTGTTTCTTCAAAAGTGCCAATAAAATGCTTCCGGCTAATTATTTTGTTATTCTTAATCACTAAAAAAACAATGATTTATTTTTTGTTTGTGTTTAGCACTACTTTAAAAGTAGATAAGATTTAAAAGACCACTTTACGCTTATTTATATGATTTTAACTTACATAACATTACCATACGTCATTATTCTCGCATTCCGACGACGACATTTGATGCTACATGTGTCTACAAAATATTTGATTTTGAAATAAAAAAATTTAAACATACAATATATTATTCTTTAGTAAATTTAACATCATTTAAAACAAATAATCTTACAAAATTTTATAATTGTAAGTCATAATTAAGAATCAAAGTTTTGTCACGCGAAAATCATCATTAATCGCAGTGCACCGTTAATTGATATTTTTTACTAAACTATTTTATTTCTCAACGCAACTTAAATATATCCCCGCGCGTCTTCGCGTCCCTTATTCAACGGCAACGTTTCACCGAGTGAGCACGTGTGCGTCTAGGAATTGTAAGTAAATTTTCATCGTTCTCCAAATTTTGTCACCAGAAATATCATTTGTATTAACAGTCTAAATTCCTTAAATATGGACATTGAATATTTTCCCATTATATCTTTTAGCAGTGAGTTCCAAATGCTTACATTTTGTAAAATCAGTGCAGCTAACTTATGCTCACAAACAAGTTCAGACATGTTTTATTCTCAATTCGTCACTTTGCGTAACATCATTATTATCAGCTTTGTCGTTGCGACGAATGACATACGTTTCGATTAATGATTATGAAGTTGCCTATAATGATGATGTGGTACTAAGAATGATTTTTAAATGTAAAAACGAAAAAATTTAGACTTTAAAAGATAGTTCCACATGATTTTTCTTGACTGTGCCACAAAAGACATGGTTATCTTTGTTTATCATATGTCATCTTTGTGTATGTATGTTTCTATGTATTAAAGATCTAGTCGTTTGTTGTATAATATTAATATCGCTGTTATTTATAGCACATTTCTTACAACAGGGCCATTAATCAAGCTAAAATGCCACAAACCAAAGAACAGCGAAGAGCACAACAGCGTTTATGTAAAAAAAGACGCTATAACCAAATAAAAAATGATCCGGAGCTGCTAGCAATTGAAAAAGAAAAACGAAAAATGCAATATCTTAAGAGAAAAGAAGAGAAAAAAGTTCTCCAAATTAAAGATAGAACGCCTCGCTCTCAAAGAGAACAACGGAAAAGATGGAAAGAAAACTCTAGAAGATATAGAAAGAAAAATAAAGAAGGAAACAATAATGAAATAAAACTGGAGACTATTCAGATCGAAGAAGTCTCGGCCTTAGGAGCTACTGAAGAACCTGATAAAAATATTGAAGAACAGGATCCTCTAAAACACGGCTCTGAATGTCCGGCTGTTAAACGTGCTGTTAGAGCAATCCGATACAAGGAACTTAAGAAAAGAAAAATACTACTATCTATCATAAATGCATTAAAAAAGAAAAACGAGTCACAACTTAAAACAATAAGAAAACAACAGAAAAAACTACAATTTATCTCTTTGAAGTCATCGAGTACAGATATATTAAAACAACAAAAACTCAACGATAAATCAACTATAATACCAAATCATTTATCTTTGTGTCAAGCAAACCGTCGATCTAAAATTAATAAAATCATTTCGTTTTATTGCGAGGATTCTAATAGTACAGTTGCAGCAGGGAAAAAAGAATATATAACAAGGAATAAGAAAAGAATGCAGAAGAGGTATCTAACGGCTCCATTAATTGATTTATATAAAAAATTTAAACATTCAGCTAATTCCGACATCCATTACTCATTTTTTTGTAAAAACCGACCATTTTGGGTTTTGTATCCTAAGCCTACTAACAGAGAAACTTGCAAGTGTTCTATTCATACAAACATGGAGCTGCTTGTGACTGCCATGAATAAGTCATCCATCTTGAACGAAAAGAATCCATCAGACATATTATCGACGCTGTGTTGCGATTCATTTAATACTAATTGCTTGCAAAGAGTCTGCAAAACATGTGCGTCTCGAAATCTTATATATAGAGAGTTTAATAATGAGATAGATTTAACATTTTTTGAGTGGATAAAAGTTACGAAAGAAGTTATTTTGGAAAACGGAACTAAGAAAAGACAAATAATAACACTGAAACAAAAGGTAGTTATGAAACCTATGGAAGCCATTGCAAAACTGGAAAATGAACTGACAAAGTATATGGACCATACATATAAAATTTGTAATCAATACAAAGTTATAAAATGTCTGAAAGAAAACTTAAATATTCATGAAGCTGTAGTACACGTGGACTTTTCTGAAAATTATAATTTAAAATATGCCCAAGAAATTCAATCGTTCCACTTCGGAGTAAGTCGGCAACAAGTTTCACTTCATACAGATGTGATTTACACGCATAGTTTTATAACTGGTGAGGTATGCCCTATATCAATGTGTACCCTTAGCTCCTGTCTTCAGCATGACGCTGCTTCTATTTGGGCTCATTTAGTTCCTGTTCTTGACGAAGTCATAAGGCTTAATCCTTTCGTGGATACTGTTCATTTTCTTTCCGATTCTCCGTCATCACAATATAGAAATAAATATATGTTTTACATTATAAGTCAATTGACATCCAGCCATTCCAATATAACAAGAATTACGTGGAACTATTCAGAAGCTGGACATGGAAAGGGTGCTCCTGACGGTGTAGGTGCTACTGTAAAAAGAACAGCTGACCAGATGGTCCATTTCGGTTTAGATGTTGGAAATTTTGATCAGTTTTATGAAATTATAAGTTCAAGAATAGATAACGTTATTATAAAAAGAGTTACTGAAGAAGAAATAATTCAGAAAAAAAGATTGATTCCTGAGAAGTTGAAACCATTCAGAGGCACCCTTTCTGTGCATCAGGTTCTGTGGGATAAGTTTATACCTAGAATTACTATGAGAAACGCGAGTTGTTTTTTATGTAATGTGGGTGACGTGTGCGCGCATGGCAAGCATTTGGGATATATCAATAGTATGCCTGTGATTCAAAACGATAATGAAAATATTGATTTTGTAATTCCTCTAGCAAATACCAAACCTAAATCTGTAAAACCGAACAAAATCAAAATTATTTCTAATATTTTAATTGACGTCACTAATAAAATTAAACCTACAAGTCACGATCTTGTGGGCACTAACAATTAACAAAAATTTATACATAGTTTCATTTATTTTTTTTAGAATGTATTTCTGATCATGGACTAATTATTATTGATGATTCGCCAACGACATTTGCTTTAAGTGATGATTATTTTATGAGAAAATGCCTATTATTTGTAGTTTTTTTTACTATTAGACGAAAGTGTTTAATAATTAGAAAACTGTCATAAATTAGAATCATATATTGCAAAAAATATCTGTTTTGTATTTATAGTCTATTTATGTTGTTAGTTTTATACTTGACCGATGTTAACTGTGATTTTTTGTTGATTGCCAAAGAATTGAAGTAAGGATTATTATAGGTTTTTTAGTTATCTAAGCTTGAGAAAATATGTTCCTATTTAGATGTTTAAATTACCCTGGTATCCCTCAAGTAACGCGATTATTACTTATTATTACTTATTTTCAATAAATCATTGTGTGCTAAATATACGATTTTTGATTGATTAGAATTTGTTTTTTTTATAACCATTGCAATATTGTTCTTGGCCCAATTATTTAGATGTCTACATTTTAATTCTTTATCGCTAAATAGTTGAAAATTATGTTTTAAGTTCATTCTCAGCAACATGGTGTCATTGTGGTCTACGTTATAGTCATTCTCAGTGTTCGGTATCATTAGTCTCAGCACGTTAAAGTTAAATTAGTCAAAAATCTTGAAAATTATTAAAAATATAATAGTGCCTTTCTTACCCAAAGTATTGTTACTATGCAAGGGTTGCATTTAGCTTACTGAAAACGACTTACATCAAGGTTTTCTAAAAACACGAAAAATTTGGTAAAAATAATTTATTTCGAAGAATAGCCCAGTCGGTGTGCTTTGGCTTAGTAATTAAAGCCTACCTATTAAATACAAACCTAATCAAATATTTTCGAAATCGGTGCCAGCCCATACAAAGCAAAGCACACCGACTTCGAAAATATTTGATTAGGTATGTATAGTAAATGAAAACTACCAATCAGTTATTTTTTACTTTTTAGTGCTTTTGTTTGAAGTCGGTTTTTATTTTTTTGTTAAAAAGTTTTTATTTTTCCCTTTTTAGTGTAGACAGTAGTAGCAAAGTAAGAATTCTAAAGTGTTAGGCTTGTCAAACCAAACAAAATAAGCCCAAACTCGAAGTATCTACTATTTATCGTTGAAGAGTTCCACCTATCCACCTTCTAGCCTTACCATCAGATCAGGTAAACAATAACGAACCTCTGTACTATCAACGCAAATAGAAACACTTGCAAAGTTTCAAGTCAATATGACAATTAGAAGTAGGTTAAATTCATTATTAGCTATTTTTCCACCCTTAGGGGTGGTATTTTTTTTTGAAATTTAAATGGGACCAATCTGGAAGTATACCCTTTCAAACAAAACAAAAATTGTCCAAATCGGTTTATAAATGACGAAGTTCTGAGGTAACAAACATAAAAAAAAATACAGTCGAATTGAGAACCTCTTCCTTTTTGAAGTCGGTTAAAAAGACAATTACAATAATCTGTAGGTACATATAATAAAATTCTAACTAAGTCGAATCTGTACATTAAATATTTTTTGGGAAATCTAATTGAAATAGACATTATTATCGATACAGAGGCCGAATCTATAGTTTTTAGAATTTTTGTCTGTCTGTCTGTTACCGCATCACAAGAAAACCACTGACAGATTTTGATGAAATTGGTATGATGATAGCTGGTTATCCGGGTCAACATATAGGATACTTTTTACCGCGGGAAAATATCTCATTTCTGAGAAAAATACAATAAAAAAAATACAGTCGAATTGAGAACCTCCTCCTTTTTGAAATCTGTTGAAAACACAAAAACTGCATTGTAAGAGTATACTAATATGTAAAACCTAAGAATTTGGTTTTTGGTCATCTGAACGCAGGCGGAGCCGCGGACAATACTAGTACTTTATAAGAATAATAGTGGTAAACATTTATAATAAAATAATAAAAAGTTTTTAACTTATAATATCGAATTTATAATTTTGAAGAACAGTTGAAAAATACCATTATTCTAAATAAGTGTTGCGCCTATAATAGTTGAAGGAGCAAAGTTACAAGAAAAGCTAATGCGCTTTACACTTCAATGAGTTAATATGTTTACTTTTTCTAAGTTTATAAAAAGATCTTAAATACAGGTAAACGTAAAATGTCAATCATTAAAAAAAACATATTCAAAGTGAGTTACGAGTATAGATTCCATTTTTCGAAAAAAAAAAACCGTTTACAGAAAATGGAATTGAAAAAAATTGCAACTGAATTAAAATTGCATAAAATTTCTAGTTAAAGACTTGGTTCGAATCTCTAAAAAAGTTTGAAAATGTTTATTTTTTATTTTTTGTTAAGTGCCAATATTTGACGGTTATGAATAGGTACTCGGGGGCACCCACGCGACTGTATATAATTATGTACGACGCGACAAATCGTCAAGGTTGGCTTCAATGATACGGCGCGCCGTCGGATTTTTCAGTGAAATAGTTTCACCGAACGGCGTCGGCGGCGGTGACGGCAACGTCTGCGCCGGCGCAGGTCGATGCCCCCGCCCGCCACGCGATTTGGCTCAACTCGCCGCATCCACAAATGAACCGTCCTCGCCAATATTAGTACCCCAACAACTGACGTCATCTAATATTTCACGAAAATCTATAAATGGGCATCAGAGATGACAAAGATTGACCAGCCAGCCATCCAATGACATCTGCTTGTATTATTTTGGAAATCCGTGATCGAAATAGTTACTTTTACTGTACAAAACTAATAGCGGTTAAAGTACAATTCGGCGTCTCTCACCAATGGTTCCGTGTTGCTAAAGTTTTGCACTTTAATAACGAAGTATAATATTTTTTCCTTCATTATTTTGTCGTTCTTATGCGTTAAAATATCCTCTTGAATGTTATGTTCTGTAAAAACTTCAACCAGTTATCTACCATGGTTTTAAAAGAGTCGTTTAAAGGCAGGGCATCATATGGCATTGGTGTAATAATATCATAAAAGTAAGACAATCCCAAGGGATTGTGTTAGTTTGTGTTTGTCAAGGGATTGTAATAATTTACCGCTATAAATAAATGCCCTAAGTTAAAAAGAAATTTTAATTGAAAGCGGACCATCTCATAACAATTTCACTTGACCAGAATTATATTTGTAAAAAAAAAGGGTTCCATTTTATTTACCCAAGGGTACAAAGCCGGAAAAAGAGAAAATTTAACGATTTTGTAAGAAATGTGTAGTATACATAGATTTTTTTTTTAAAAACATTCCATGCTTCCTAAACAACCGAAGAGCTAATCGGTTTGTAATATATGAGTATGTCGTCTTTAATTACAACTGAAACGATGTGATAAAAGTTTCATAATCAGTTATTGACAAAGTCGAATATAGTGGGTGCCGCCGCTATCGCCAAACTACCGAGGCTAATAGGCATGTGACAACTCCTCTATGCTAGACTATGCCAAATAATCGAGACATAACACGATACAGTTTTACACTTTCTTAGATTTACGCGAATATTGGACATTTTAAATAAAACTTATTTTTCCCAACTAAAGTTGGGAACCAAAAATCAAAATAAATCCGCGATAAAATCCGAAAAATAAGTTTTATTTAAAACGATACAGTTTCTTACTTTTCCTTTGACAAAATATAGATTATTTATGACTTGCGAAATGGCCCAAACGTTGACAGTTACGACCTACTGTCTGGGTTTTAAAAGTGAAATTTTACATAAACGTGGTGATGTTACATTTTTTTTTGTTTTTATGTTATATATTAATAGTTTGCTAAAACAGATTCACATTATGTAATTGTACTAATTTATTTTTGATATTACAGATCTGCTTATTCAATATTCTACTTTGGTATGAATTGTAATTACCCCGGACTATTCTAATGTTAGATAAAATTTGAAATTTTTAATTTCATATAAAAAGAAAGACAGATCTACAAATACTCCCGTCGAGTTTCTTTCGAAAGTTCTAAAGACTGTGGAAAATTCGTTATTTCGAATTACTGAAAAAGAATGAGTGTATTTCTGAAATACTCATCAACAACCATAACAATATTCATAGGTATTTAAGTAAAACCTTTGTAATCTCATTTCCAATAAAAAAAAATTGAATATAACATTTTAACTTTGGATAAAGTTTAAAATTACTAAATGCTCAGAATTATAATCAAATTCATGAGTGACCCTAAGACTAACTACTAAAACGAAATAACAAAGCGTCTAATCTAATTGGAATCCAGTTAGCGGTGGGTCCATAGTACAACTAGTTTTATCCCGCTCATGTGAACATATCAATGAAATTCTTACAATAGCTCCCTCTGGCGCCTTGAGATATTTTACGTAGCAAAATGGCGACCAAATTTACAAATCATGCGCACAAATTTCATAACCATATTTGGTCATTTATAAACCATACAAAATTTATTTATTTATACTTTAAAACAGAAGATGAGCCTTAAAAATACTTGATCATTGAAATTAGCTTTATTTTAGGGTTATTAATATAACAAAATATATTTGAAGTTGAGAAGGTTTAGTTATTCAAATATAATTTAAATTTTAATGTGGTAGCAAGCGCTACCTATGTTATTAGACACAGAACTATGTCATACTGAAATACAGCAACCGTTCGTCGTTCTTTGTATTAGAAGTAGCGTTATAGTATTCTATTGCTAGATGGCGTTACCATCTGAGAACTATTTTTTCTAATCAACTATAGATGGCGCTATTAGACATTGTATAAGGAAAAACAAATAACAAAAGATAACAGGCAATGCAAATAAATATCATAATTAATTTCAGTCAAAAGTCTTAACTTTAAGTCATTTCTACTTAATTAAAAGGAATTTAGAAATGAAAGTTTATTTAGAAGCAAAATGTATAAAGCGGCTAGGTTTTGTTTAAGTTTTCCTCGAGAAAAATATATACTATTTTATAATTTTAATTTTATGTTCTATATGTTAAGAAGGAACTGTATTAGTCATGTATAGAAAACCTGAGTGTGCTAAAACTAAATCCTTGAAATAAAAAAAGGAATTTCTTGTATACCTTTTAAAAATTTTAATCTCGAGTTGTGAAATTTATTTTTATGTCAAAAAATATAATAAACAAAGTCAAAGCTGCGGTTACATTAAAGAATTTAACCGCTTTAAATAAATGCCTTGAGGTAATAAAAATTTATACTTTTAAATGAAGGTGGAAACATCACATGATAATTTTACATAACAAAAATTATATTTATAAAAAAACTAGTTCCATTTAATTTACGATAAAGAAACAAACGCTGAAACATCATAGATAATAACAATATTCCAAAAATATTATTATTATTTAAAGCAAAAATGTGTTTGTCTTACCTGGCACCTTGAAAGGACGCGTCAGATGTTGACGCGGCAGCCCCGAAGCCGACACCCACGGCAAGGCCCTCTGGTATGTTGTGGACCGTGATAGCTACGACGAGCAGCATTATCCTCTTCCATTGAGACTGTCTAGCTTCTAGTGCACGCGCTATACTGTCTCGATGGTCTCCTTCTGCTCCATCAGTCTTCTGTAGCATTTAATCATAACGATTATTGGTTTTATTTATATATATAGTGTGTATGTGTAGATATGTATGTATGTTGCTGAATCGGCTGGATGCATTTGAATGAAATTTAATACACAGGTACATTATGACCTGGACGGACACCTAGACCTGGAGTAACACTACAGTTTTAGATATTGAGATAACCAGCCGAGCGAAGCGTGGGTAAGCCACTAGTTTATCAAACTGTTATTTGAGGAATATACAATGTCAATTTTCTATGGCGTGCCTTATAACGGTACTAAAAGAAGTAGTAGGGGAGCCCACGATGCTAAATGGGGATTTACTCGAGCGTCGTAGAGACCTATTGGGATGCAAAGCTTAGATTATAAGAAGAAAAAAATGTTATATGATATATACCTTTACATCGGTGGGGGAAGCGGCTATAGATTTTTAAATATGTAAAAAAAACTGTTGCATAGACATCCTCGAGCGCGTCAGATATTGATAGCATCAATGCCCTACGTATTTTTAATAATATACGTATGTTAATCTGATCGTTTGCATGATGCGGGTGGTTGTATTTAAGGGTTGAAAAAGAAAAAAAAAAATAATCGAGCGCGTCAGATTTTCTAAGGGAGTGTTAAGTGCACCAAAAAAAAGCTCTCATTCTCAAACTCGCGGCCATTTTCATAATGTGCAAAAAAAATCGCCATTTTGAAATACTCAAGCGCGTCAGATTAAGATATATATGGTTCATCTTTATATTCTAAACGTACTGTCTCATAATCTGACGATTATCTAGAGGGATTCGCCTGATCTGACAAAAAAAATTAGAAAAACGGTTCACCTTAAAGGCCATACCTGCAACTTCCCGCTAATTCCATTCCTGGGCGCTTAAAATTGTACTTATGACATTTTTGAGCTCAAAATATAATTTATGTGATATTTTGAGCTCGCTGAGTTCAAAGAAATAATATTTCTATGCATTTGAGCTCTCCCAGCTCAAAAGTCTGATAGAAGTTTCATAGAACACTATTTTTGGAATTTTCAAACCGCAATAACTTTTGAATAGATCAAGCAATTTTCACGCGGTTGACGCCATTCGACGCAGTTTTATCATCCTCATAAGTTATTTTCAGGTTTTAATTGATCGAACGAAAAATTTCGGAGTAATCCCGAAAAAACACTTTTTTCGGATTTCTTTCGTTCACGATATCTCTCGAACGAATCAACCGATTTTGATCGGATTAGCGACGATCGGCGTGGTTTTTCTAGCTTAAGGGCGGATTAGTTTTTGAAGTTAATTGATAAAGCCGGTTAAAAGTTATTCCAAAAAAAACCACTTTCAAAAAAAAAAAATAATTTTTTTGAGATTTTTCAAAATTTCTCAAAATCTATCGGTCCGAATCGGTTCAAATTCATAGGAAATCTAATTTTGAGGAAAATCTTTAGAACGCCGTTTAGAAGATTCCGATCGGTTTAGTCGTTGAAAAGATTTAAGCGAGTCACACATACACACACACATACATGCATACAGACTTAGTGACAACATCATACACGGGGGTAGTCAGGGAAGCTTCCTATGACCTTAAAACGTCAAGATCTGATGAAAACTCGATTTTCGAAAAACGGGGTAAAACCAATAACTTCCCGAATTTTTTTTTTATTTTTTTAAATCATTGAACTTAATTAATTGAAAAGCTCAGGAAATGCTCCGACGATATTCCAAGATATTTACACATTTTTTTAAAGTTTCTACCGTAAATTTAATTGTTTTTTGTAAGGTACTTTCACCACAAAATACACATTTCAAATTAATGTCACTCATATTAAATATTTATAAACTTTAATTCACACAAATTATATTCAAATAGCAAAAAAAGCCAAAACGTTGGAAACACGTTGTAAACAGTATGCCACGAACGAGTCTTTATGATCAGCTGTGATGGCGTTATGGCGGCAGAAACCAGAGTGGGGACGGAGTGAGAGAGTAAAAGATAGAGAAAGAGTGAGAGAGGAATAGAAACGCGGAGAAGGAAATGTAGGCATCACGCAGCTGCACGCATTTAACTTTATCGACGAATTTTTGTTATTTCGGCATGCGGAAATCGTCAGATTATATATTTTTCATTATTCTTGAATTATTTCCTTCAAAATAAAAAAAAATTTGACTACGCTCGAGAATGTCGAGATGACGTTTTTTTTTACAACTTTGTTACCCTCCCCTTTTTTTACGTCACTCTCAAATTGTCAGATTAGTGGAATATACACTTTTTAGGATGTAATTAACTCACCCTACCTTAATCTGACGCGCTCGAGAATTTCTGATGGTCAATTTTTTTTTACTAATCTGATCCTGTATCCTTCACGGGCGGCCTTATATATGGGCCTCATGTTTTGTGGAGGTACTTAACCGGGTACAAGGTATCCCCCTGTATATTAATCTGCCGCGCTTTAGTAAATCCCGAAATCCCCGCTTGGGCTCCCCTACTAAAGCGATCGATCTGTTTCACCACACTATTGCGACGACTAACATTCAAATTGTAAGCATAGAATCGAATTCACGATGAAATAAATATTGATCCATACCGCTCCCAATCTGTCCCACGGAGTATTCAAAAATTATTAGTATAATCTATGAAACTTTTAAATCCATGCAGTATAATAATTTTATACAAAAAACGCGTAGATACAAAAAAATATGGCAAAAACAAACACATTTTTGTTATTTTTTTCATGATACTATTACTTCATGATACTATTTTAGTATACAAATTTATATTTTAGTTATTCGAAATATAATTTCTTGCAAGTGATTTTTTGTATTTTTAATGAATATCATTAAACTTTGTGGAAATCATCCTTCCGGAATGTAAATAGCAATAATTCAGTAATTTCACAACAGAAAAAAAAAAGAATTTATTGCCGTTTTTAGACTCTGCATAAAGTAGGCATGTTTTTTAGGCTATTGGCCACCCTGGTCACCATACATTTTTTTTAAACCACAAGTCCTCAAACTTCGTCATTGTAAAATCATTTTATTTATTTTTAAATATTTAAAATAAAAAACAGTTACAGCCAGAAACATTTTGTTACGCGCGATGGCGAAGGCAATTCACGGTTATTATTATATACATTCACGGTTATTTCCAGAGAAAATCAATTGGTTATTAATAAATTTGTAGCCATATGTACTTAATAATATGAACGGAGGTATCAAATTTCATCCTTTTAAAAAAAGTAATTTACTTCCATATTGATGTAGATATATTTTTTATTTTATTTTTTTCTAAATGGTCGAGGTGCCCCCACCAGTAACCTGTCTTATCAACCTTACCGGACGCCCTGTATATTTAGCAAAAACTTTTTAACAAAAAAATAAAAACCGACTTCAAACAAAAGCACTGAAAGTAAAAAATAAGTGATTGGTAGTTTTCATTTACTATAAGTACATACCTAATCAAATATTTTCGAAGTCGGTGTTCTTTGGCTAAGTAATTAAAGCCTACCTATTAAATACAAACCTAATCAAATATTTTCGAAATCGGTGCCAGCCCATACAAAGCAAAGCACACCGACTTCGAAAATATTTGATTAGGTATGTATAGTAAATGAAAACTACCAATCAGTTATTTTTTATTTTTCAGTGCTTTTGTTTGAAGTCGGTTTTTTTTTGTTAAAAAGTTTTTATTTTTCCCTTTTTAGTGTAAACAGTAGTAGCAAAGTAAGAATTCTAATTTGTTAGGCTTGTCAAATCAAACAAAATAAGCCCAAACTCAAAGTATCTACTATTAGCCGTTGAAGAGTTCCACCTATCCACCTTCTGGCCTTACCATCAGATCAGGTCAACAATACCGAACCACTGTACTATCAACGGAAATAGAAACACTTGCAAAGTTTCAAGTCAATATGACAATTAGAAGTAGGTTAAATTCATTATTAGCTATTTTTCCACCCTTAGGGGTGGAATTTTTTTTTAAATTTAAATGGGACCAATCTGTAAGTATACCCTTTCAAACAAAACAAAAATTGTCCAAATCGGTTAATAAATGACGAAGTTCTGAGGTAACAAACATAAAAAAAAAATTGGCGAATTGAGAACCTCCTCCTTTTTGAAGTCGGTTGTAAATGATAACTTTCACTAAATAAAAAATAGACTTTTACGTTATCTCAGTCAATTATTTTTATATTGTACAGGCTAGGTGATTAGGCGCTACGTAAATAAAAATGCTGATTTGATAACCTTCAGCTAGGTAAAAGAGGTATGGCACCAAAACTAGGTAATCAAACTGGTATAAGAATGGGAACCGTTTTAATAATTTGAATAAGCAATTTAATTATACTCATAGCTCAGCAGATTTTTCGTATCGAATTTATTACAATGAATGAAAAATCAACAATAGATAAAATGAATGCCTTTTCTTAAAACTCTATCGTTGGTACTCGTAGAGTTAATATGTATAATAATGTATTACTGTATATCTCAAACTAAGTAAATCTTAAGATTTCCGAGTAAAACGTAAGATAAGATATGTCAAACCTAAATAGTAGTCTAAATAGCTATAGCATAGCATTGATAATCGATTATTTCGATAATAAACTATTATTTAATCCTGCAACGACACACCGCGGACACATCGGTGTTACAGTTAACAATTAATTTCTTAGAAATTTAACTAATTTCTTAGAAATTTACCAGAAGGAGTCCGTGTCTCTTAAAAATGTAGACTACACAATGGCTAGATTTTAGTGAAATATCATGGGCTTCAACGTAGTTTGAGCTATTATTACAGTTACAGTAATAAAGAAGTTTACTAACCAATGAATTCTGTGAATGATGATGACCTCGACGTCGTTGTGCGGTATGCTGATTTGTGATACAATCAGAAAACTCTACGGGTTGAGTTTCTAACGTTACTACTGTAGGATTAGATGGCCGCCTTAAAGCTGTCATCATTTCTAAGTCTTCCAGTTTTTCTTTGGAGTCTTTTGATTTTGTTATTGCTTAAAACAAATAAATATATATTTATTATCTATATGTTCACATTTTACATTAATAGGCTATTTTTAATCGTTATCAAACATAACATATGTTAAGGGCACTATTGTATAGTAATGCACCGTTATTTAGAACTAACGACTCACCCTCGCTTCGCTCAGGTTCGTCCCTATATATGGAATAGATTTTTTTTAATTTTTCGTGAATTTTTTCGATGTTTTAATAGTTAGTAGATTCGGGATCTCGGGAAAAATCTAACAAAACAAAGATCATAAAAATCGGTCCAGCAGTTCTCGAGTTATAAGTGTTGTAACAAACCCGGTTTTGTTTTTATATACCTATATAAGATTATATTTAATAATAATCAATTTATGTAATATAATAATAATAATAATAAATGTTGGGACATTAACACACAGCACCATCTACTTCCATTGTAAGTTACGAGGCTTGTGTTATGGATACCAGATAGTTGATACACTACACATATTATGTAACTTTAAATACATACTTATTCTAAATATAAACAATATTTAGAATAAGTATGTATTTAAAGTTATATATGTGTAGTGTATCAACTAGTTGGTATCCATAACTCAAGCCTCGTAGCTTACCATGGAACTAGACGATGCTATGTGACATATTTATTTATATCGCGACACGAATCTTACTTTTAGTTATTCGTCATACTCCCAATACTAAATAGGTAAAAAATATATAGTGGAAGCATAGAAAAAAATCATTATCATCCAATCTAAAAATATAATCCAATTTAAGGTTGCGTTTGAATGCTCATTTCCGCACATCAATCTAGAAATATACTGCAGTTGTGAATTAAAATTTCACCTTGGCTCATGCTAACTTACCTATACTTACGATAACTGTTATTAAAAACTGCACCAATAAACTAAGTTTATACAAATACGAGGTTTCAAATTTCTATATTGGTCACGTAAATTTCTTGCCAACTGTATCATTCCATATAAAAAACAAATATATGTTTCTGTTGCATATATTTATAATATGTATGTATTTAAAGTTATATATGTGTAGTGTACCAACTATCTTGTATCCATAACACAAGTCTCGTAGCTTACCATGGACTTAGATGTTGCTGTGTTTATATTTATTATTTATATTATTATTTATGTAAGAGTTCCTATAACATTTCACTGATACCGATGAAATGTTGATTAAATGTGCGCAAGAGCTCGAATGTTTCTAACATGGTAGCATTATCAAACAATAAGTGTGTAAATTGTATTTGACATATAATTGTTCTCAATGCAACAGGTAGAATCAGTAAATAGGTTATATATGTCTGCCTGTGTGTGTGTATAGGTAAGGTGTTAGTCTAATACTTTAAACTTATTAACTTGCTACTTTAAAACTAAATCATTTCGCATAAAGAAACTTTGTTAAGTTATTTAATTGTTTTAATTAAAATGATATGATGAATGAGATACAATAAACTCTATTTACAGGAAAGCTGATATGATGTTGCCTAACAGGAATGATATTATAACTAGGACGTTGCCTCTCTCAGGGGAGTTGCTGGACTCCTACTGGGCGCGTCCCCCGGGTGGCGGATAGGGGAATGCCACCACATTGGTGGTACCGGTTCAACCGGCGCGGACCAAAACCAGTAGGCATGGGCGTGCCTTTAGGGGTTTGTTAACCCCACGGCCTAAGGGAGCACACCCTGACAGAAAAGCACGGAGGTGGGGCGAGCCCGGCGGGCGCTTCACTGCGCAGCCCGGCTAGCACTTTGTACAACGCCCCTCTCACATCGTAATCCCGGAACCCGGTGTCGTTGACCATGTCTAGCGGCCGGGAACTGGGACCGATAGCCTCGGCTTAGCCGCCCGGGCTGCGAGGAAGAAAACCTCTATAAAAAATCACCCCAATCCCAAGTGGCGGAGCAGCGCGAGGGGATGCGTGGCCGATGGGTAGATCGGTCACTACTGCTACCCCCGCTAGAGTACCGGCCGAAACTCTATGCGGGTTACGCTGGGCTTATCCGCAGACAGGGGGCACTGTGCGGATGGACCCACCCTTCCCCCATACTCGTGGGAATCATATGGATACACAAAAAACCAAAATTCAAGATGATGTGCCTGTGACGGGCGGAGAAGACGTGGTGCCTGCGACGGGCGGAGAAGAGGTTGTGCCAGCGACTGGCGGTGTTGGCGTTCGGCCTGAGATGGGCGGTGGGCGGTGTATCGGTTGCGCCTGATAAAGGTGCAGAGGTCTTCGCGGCAAAGCAGCCGCAAGCCGTGCTCACCCGCATCCAACTGGGTGAAAGCGCAATGTCCAGACGGGGCTCCGTGTCCTCGGGTGGCAAATTCTGGGCGGGGTCCGGCAGAAACTCTGATGGGCAAAGCTTTGTCTCCATGGGATCAGCAGGAAGTCTGTCCCAGTACAAAAAGGATGCTAGGAAGAGGCCCAGAGTCAGTCGGGGCAGCAAAACAAGCTCGTCGGAAGATGAGAAAAAGCCTAAGGCCAAGGTAGTAGCCAGCCGAGGTAGAGGTCGCCCACCCACGACAGGAGAGTACGTGGGGCTGGCCGCAGCCAAAGCTGCGTTAAACAAGGCTAAGCAGGAGGAACTCCGACTACGGGCAGAAGAGGAGGTGGCTGGGATGACGCTGGCGGTGCAGACCCGTTCCAGTTCGTGCCTGTCACTGGACTCGTTGGCCATGGAGGGGAATGTCACGGAGGCGGTATTGGTGTCTGACCTCCAGAAAAAGGTGGCAGAGAGCCTGCTGGTAATCGAGACAGTCGCCAAGAGATCAGGGAACCTTAAAGGGGTGTTCATAAAGGCCCTAAAAGAGGCGGCCAGTTCCATCTCGACGGCAGTGGACGTGTTGGCCACAAGAACGGCATCGGAAGAGGCAATTCAATTGCGGGCGAGTAACGCACGCCTGCAAGCGGAGCTGCGCGATCTGAAGCAGGAGTTTGTGGCGTTGAGAGCGCAAATTGACCTGCGTCCGTCAACGTCCGTGGCCCAGGTCCCAGCAAATTCCCCGCCACAACATCCGGCTGGCGTGGACGAGCTGGCCCAGACGATCATGGTCCAGGTGGGGACCATGATCAATGCCCGTTTTGAAGCCCTAGAAGATCGCCTTTTGCCTGAGCGTCGTGTCCGCCCACCATTGGCGGCAGACAAGGCACAGGAAAAGACGATTGAAAAACCTGCGGAGACTATGGCCCGGGTAACAACCCTGGTCGCCCCGGCGAATCCTGCCCCACCTGCAAAGAAGGGAAAGAAGGAGACCAAAAAGAAGGCTACAAAAAAGCCGGACCAACAACTGGCTGCGCCAACTCCGACGGCGGGAAATGCGCAAGCAACTCCAGCCCCTTCCACTGCCGACGGATGGAACGTGGTAGTGAGACGGGGGGCTAAGAAGAATACGACGGCTACAAATCAGCAGCCGAAAAAATCGGAAGTGCCGCCCAAGAAGCGCAAGGTCGGAAAACTCCGGCCTCCTCGCTCGGCAGCGGTGGTGATAAAGCTCCAGCCATTAGCTGTCGAGCGAAATATCACATACGGAGAAGTATTCACCCAGGTCAAGACGAAGGTAGACCTATCTGGCCTGGGTATCAAAGATGTCCGCTTCAAGGTGGCCTCAACGGGAGCACGTATGCTCGAAATACCGGGGGCAAACAGCGGTGAAAAAGCGGATGTCCTGGCGCAAGCCCTGAAGGAGGCATTGGACGGGGAGAATGTTAAGATCACCAGACCCACAAAGTGTGCAGAACTTCGGGTAACTGGCCTAGATGACTCAGTTACCCCTGTGGAACTGGCGGAGGCAATAAGCCGGGCAGGTGGCTGCAATGCAGACCTTGTTAAGTCAGGAGAGATCAGGAGGGACAAGTTTGGCCTGGGGTCGGCGTGGGTTAGATGCCCGGTAGTAGCCGCAAAAAAGGTAGTGGACGGTGGTCGCCTCCTCGTGGGACTGGTTTCTGCGCAGGTGAAACTGTTGCAAGCCCGGCCACAGCGGTGTTATCGCTGCCATGAGGGAGGCCACGTGGCGGCGCGATGCACGGGGGCAATAGACCGCAGTGCCGAGTGCTACAGGTGCGGACAGACTGGTCACCTGCGTAGCCAATGCACATCTGCACCACACTGCGCAGTCTGTGAGGCGGCGAAGAGGCCAGCGGACCATACGGTGGGAAGTGCGGCCTGCACTCGGTCCCAGCCAAAGAAAAGCAGGAGAGCGACACCTGGGCCAAAGGCCCAGACACAGCCGGTCCGCAATAGGGACGAGGTGGAGGGGGCCATGCAAACTTAATTATGGCCCTAAAGGTTCTACAGGCGAACCTTAACCACTGCGCCAGAGCCCAGGACCTGTTTGTCCAAAGTCTGGCGCAGTGGTCGGTGCAGGTCGCTGTCATAGCGGAGCCGTATTGGGTCCTCCCGCGTGACAACTGGGCGGGCGACGACGTCGGGTTGGTGGCCATCGTTTCCTAGGTCGCCGCGGGCTCTCCACCCTTTACGCGTGTTGTAAAGGGCTCGGGGTGCGTCGCGGCACTGCTGGGTCGGGTCGTCGTGGTCGGAGTATATTTCTCCCCAAACAGACCCTTGGTAGAATTTGAAGAGTTCTTGGACAGGTTGGGGGAGCTAATCGCCAGATGTGGGCCCGCGGAAGTTCTCGTTGCGGGGGACCTAAACTCGAAGTCCGGCATGTGGGGCTCGCCAGTGGAGAATGCACGGGGGAGAGTCCTTGTAGAATGGATCGTTGCCACCGGCCTAACTGTCTTGAATCAGGGAACGGTCAACACGTGCGTGCGACGGCAGGGCGGGTCCATCGTGGACGTTACGTTCGCGAGCCCTGCCTTAGCGCGCCGTGTCCACGGCTGGCGAGTGCTGGATGATGTGGAGACGCTCTCGGACCACCGCTACATCCTATATGAGATCTCCACTCATCCGGCGGTGCCGCCGAGCCGTAACCGAAGTCGGAGGGAGGAGGGACCGCGATGGCAGCTGAGGCGTCTCAACCCGGAG